GACCATGAAAGCCAATTCTCATGGTCATCCCTTGCCATGGAGCACATTAGCCATGGCCATGCAATCCATCCACTATATACTCATGGTCAACTGTTGTTTTCATGGTTTACTGGTTTCATAAATCTATGGTCAGAAAAATCCATGGTTAAATTTATGTCCATGGCTCATGGACAGCCCCATGGTTTTTTTTTACCCAGGGAAGACTTACAAAATGTGTAGGACTCGGCGACTTATGGCCCGCGGGGCACGGTGTGCCCGTCATGGCGACGGCTCGCGGCTCGCGATGAGTGTGGGGCCGTGGGACTGCTCCCGGAGGTGGGTCCGCGAGGGCGCAGACGAGGGCCGTTCCATAGGGAGAACTCAAAAGGTTGTGGGCGTTTGCCGGAGCACGTTCAAGGCCCTGTGGTGGAACACAGCATTTTAATCGACTGCACTACGCACGCGCGGCGGTCTAGGGATGAGTGCAGAACTATTACTTACGAGACGCTGGTTGGCGCGCAGTCCTTGCAGGTCGTTGAGCACCAGGCTCTCCATGTGTCCCCTTCCAGTTCCCACTCCTCCAGGCGGAACAGCTGCGGCCGGGGGATGTCTCGTAGGCGAGGTGCAGGGAGGGCTGGGTCTGGTGGCGCGAAGTTGGGCGCCGCTGACACGCGGTACCGCACCCGTCCCCGGAATGGGACGACCTTCCTTGGCTCGGTGTACCTGCAGCCGCTCCGAGGTTCACCGACTCCCACGTTGCGGCAGAAGATTTCCAGGCGTCGGTAGACGTTCTTGATGGCGGGTTCGCTTGCATCAGGATGGGGGTCCGGGGTGCCCCTGCCATGGATGGGGACCCAGGATATCCAGTAGCCGGGGCGTTGGTCGTTGGTAACGCGCTCCCTGGCTGACGAGACGTCGACGGGGAACAGCCCGCATGCGAGGTTCACCTGCCCCTGGATGTAGGCGAGGAACCTGTCCAGCGTCGGTGCTTGAGCTTGGCGTCGGCAGGCACAATGGGGGTCCATGGGACTCGGTGGAGCGGCCCCCGCAGCAACACCCGCTGCAGCCATGGTCCCCGGCTTCTACTTCGGTCTTGCCTTCTGGGTCTTCTTTCTTCTCTCTTCAGCAAGTGGCACTCTCAACACACGCACAAAGCACAGCACAACACCACCAGCACTTTTCAACACTTAGCACAACTCAGCAACGAACACCAAAACTCTTAACTCAACAACTCAGCAAGACACAACCAACCAAAAGGACAACAAATTGACACAGGTGTTTTGATGTAGTTTGTAAAACAAATATTGTTGATAACCATATCACCTCTAATTTCCCTTAAAAAATTCATGAACTTTTTTTCTCTAATAATGTGATAGGAAATTTTTGTTTCAAATACTATACATCAAAAACCCTGTGTCAATTTGTTGTCCTTTTGGTTCTGATTCAGGAAAACCTTATGGGAGATTTTTAAACCAAATATTGCTGGAGAAATCAAGCGCGCAACCTTTTAAGTAAAACAATCAAATTTTCTCTGCGCTTCAGTGTCTGAGACCCAAAAGGTACCTCCATACCCACAATCTAATGTTGCTTCCTAGTTCAGTGTCTAATTGGAAATGAAAGTTCCACCCAGTTTGACCATAGCCATCTATAGGGAGCCAAAAACTACATTTATCCATTTATACGCAAAAAATCATTTTAAAAACTTTACACCCCCCTTAACAGATTTAAGTGTTAGGTAGGTGGATTAGACAGAGAAGTGCATACCTCAGCATGTTCCTTGGTGGGATATTTCCTTACATAGTTGACAGTTTGCTCCCAAGACTTATCCGTTGCAAGTGCAGGCAGATTACCTAGTCAGCACCTTGACTGCTGCACAGCTTTTGGGCGTACACTATCAACTCTGAAATGAAATGACCCACGAATGTGCAACTGTACAGTTATGACCTTCAAATAATATGAACATGAAGTAGCGTAACCAGCCATTGGCTGACCCCTGCCCTTTATGTGTTGTTTGAAAAAAGTTGATTATTTTACTTTAAAGTTTGTGCGCTTGATTTCTCCAGCAATATGTGGTTTAAAAATCTCCCATGAGGTTTTCCTGCATCAGAATCAAAAGGACTACAAATTGACATGATGTATAGTATTTGAAACAAAAATTTCTTCTCACATTATTTGAGAAAAGAAAATTATGATTTTTGCCTATAGGCACCAACGTACAAACATCGACAGAAACAACACGAGCATAGGCGCATTTTAACTTTTACTGGAAATTAGCTTGCAACCGTAGAACTCTGTTTTCCAAGAAAAGCGGGAAAAATTCCTGAAGCGAACACAAGACGGCTTAGGGGCTCATGGGTTTGGGTTCAGTCAGTCCGTTGGGCTGTTCCTGGCCGCACGGGCCAGGGCCGGGCACTGTGCAGCTCAGTAAAACTGCTTCTTGCAGTTGCTGCAACGGGGTTTCGCTCTTTTAGGCCAACTCGAGGGTCGGGCAGCAGTCCGGTGTTCTTCTTGGTTGCCGTGATTTAAGCCGTCGCCCGGGTGGTTAAAGTGCGGGGGTGGCGCTGCAGTTGATGGGCCTAGTGGGAAGGCGTCCGAGGGCTGGGCAGTGAGCCGCTCTTCTTGCACTGTAAATTGAAACGGTGACTTTGGCCCTGTCTAAGATGATGTGCAAAATGTCTCCTTGTACGGGGGGAACGCCTCCCGGAGTCACCCTGAACGTATCGACGAAAACGTCCCACTACAGGGAGACTTTTGTGTCCCTTTTCCGGGTGACATCGCGTCACCGCGGGAAGGCGACTTCAGCTGCCCGCCCGAAGGCAAGGGAACGCACCGCGCAAAGGGAAACTTCTGCCCGCCTCGCACCCCCACCCTACCCGCTGGGACCCTTCCCCTCCCCACCTACAGGTACAGGTACACTGCTACAAATAATAGTAAACACATAAAATACCAATTACTGCTATTTCTTGATTAATCTAACTGTATACAAAAATCACAGGCTGTCCAGATTAGAGAAAAGTATTCTTTACTAGCTATATGTACGCCAGTCCACGTCTCGCGTAACAGGCTTCGCGATATCTCACGAAACACTGTTACGCTGCGACGCGCTTGGCGCCCATATGGCTAGGCCTGCGGCGCTGACACCCGAGACGAGTTAAGGACAGGGTGTAGGGGGACAGGGCCTTCCTGGCCCTAAATTTGTCATACTCGAACCATTTGTCGGGGTCTTATTACTCTAAAATTAGGAACATGAAACTTCTGCTGTTCGGTAACGGTTTTCATTAAAAGTTCGAATTTGGACAGATTGTAATGTAAAAATCAACGTTTTAGTGATACTAGACA